ATATAAATTTTAATATCAAAATACAACTCAAAATAAAAACGTATAAAAGTCAAAGAGAGATGTCCTATAATGCTGAGAAAATGAACAATAGTTCAAGAAGTCACAATTGGTAATTAGAAATATTAACATATCTCTCTCAGAAAGTGATATATGAAGCTACTTTTTAAAATTTAGCAAAGCTATAGAATGTTATTTCAATGCATTAAAAATAAAAACTTTCTAATACTTTTTTGCATAATTTCACAACGTCTTGAAATTTAAAATTAACTTGCTGTGATGATAAGAGCTGGGATTTGATATCAGAAGATGTGGTTTTTCAGTTTTCATCTCTGCTTGCTAGCTTTGCTCCTTGTAACAAGTCACTGATCTTTGAATGTCAATATCCTTCCCTCTACCATGAGATTTATTAATACAGTACCTACATGACCAACTGTGTGACTTTAAATTTGCTCTTCTAGATTCTCAATTTCCAAATTTCTAAAACAGATATGTTAAAATAACTGCTTTGTCAAATTCGCCAGGTTGGTAAGCCTCAAATAAGAAAATGTATGTTAAAGAGTTTGGCAAAATGTTATGTTCTATGAATGTTTATTATTATTGTTGTTCTTATCAATCTAGCAGCAATTTGCTCATTGTTTAGCTGCAGTGTTCTAAAAGTTACAACATAAAGATATACTTTGACAGGTGAATGGATAAACAAACCATGGTACATCCAAACAATGCAGATTATTCAACACTAGAAAGAAATGAGTTATCAAGCTATGAAAAAACATGGAGGAAACTTAAACTGGTGTTGAACTCATATTACTATGTGAAAGAAGCCAATCTGAAAGGCAATGCACTGATTTCAATGATATAACATCCTGGAAAAGGCAAAACTATGCGGACTGTAAAAAGATCAACGGTTGTCAGGGGTTGGGCAGGGAAGGGATGGATAGGCAGAACAGAGAGGATTTTTAGGATGGTGAAAATATTTTGTATGTTATGATGGTAGGTACATGTCATTATACATTTCTCCAAATCCATAGAATATACAACGCCAAGAGTGAACTCTAATGTAAACTATGGACTTTGGGTGATAACGGTGTGTCAATGTACGTTCATCAGCTGTAACAAATGTACCACTTTGATGGGGCGATGCTGATAATGGGAGAGGCTATGCATATGTGGGGTTTATGGGATATCTCTGTGCCTCCTCTTAATTTTGCTGTGAACTTAAAACTGCTCTAAAATATAGTCTTTAAGAAGAAAGAACATTTCAATTTAATAATACTGTCATGTATGTATACTGAATACATATATTTCTCATTATTTTTCACCGCCTAAAGAGTTAAGTACTGATATTTCCACTTTAAAGATGCTGCTGCTATAGTTTGTAGAGGCCATGAAAATTTTCCAGGATCACTCAGTTAGAAAATTACGGAGCTAGTGTTGGACGCATATCTATCTGCCTGACACTGATATTGAAATACATCAACACTATATTTACCAAGTAGAATATATGTAATAAACATTCTAACCAAATAGTGAACATAGACACTGAAAAGAGTTAAAACTAAGAAAGGAAATGGCCCCTTAGTCCTTAAGGAGCCATGAAGGGTGTAAGGAAGTAATTAGAGAAACAGTCAGCTTTCATTGCACCTCAGAGGATGAGCCAAACTGCAGAGTCATAAACTCAATGAGACGTCTGGTTCCAAGTGCTCGGCCAATTGTAGCCAAGAACGGCACAGAAAGCCCTTGTCCTGTCAGCCATTCCACACAGTGCTCTATTTCAGAAGACATATATACAGATATTTTTTTCTCCCTTACATGGAGTTTTCTAAGAAAGGACAAAATGAAACCAGATGCTGGAACAAAAGAACAGCCTTTCTTAATGGGGGTGAAACCAGCTGAAGCCCATGGGCTCTGTTCTTCTTTGGGTTTATCAAGAGCATCCAGAAACCTGTTGTCCTTCTCCGCAGGGGAGAGCAATCAATCCACATGCACTGGAGACATGAGCAGAAGAATCTCAGTGGCACCGTTGCTTTAAAGACACCCAAGACATCAGTGTTAGTGAAAAGCAAGACTTACTTAAAATTGTGAGGAAGCCACCGTAGACCCTTGTCCCTCCCCGCCATCCATATTTCAGAATCTTCTTGCTGGGAAAGTCCCATTTCCCCTTCCCTTTGCTGGCCAGCTTTCTCCAGCTTCCTCATGGCTCTGGCTACAAATCTAGTTTTAATCATTTGTACCTCAGGGTGAAAACAAAAGCACATTTGCATCTGAAGTTTCTTCTCTAATTGTTGACTGAGATGCAACCACCTCATCAAGGCACTTATGGGGAGACAGAAGAGGAGATTAGGGTGGAAGAGGCTGAGGGTCCCTCCTAAGACTAGGAAGTCTCAGGGCTGAGGTCACTTGCTCCTAGGGCTCAGGACAAAGAAGTGGGCAATTCCCCTTTCGCTTGCCAGCTATGAGCTCCAAATCGCACCATTTACCAGCTGAGAGTTTTGAGGAAGGAAATTTTGTGGTTACCTTGTCAGTGGTAGAAAAACAATCCCATTGGGGTAGGTGGGCTGTTTTACTGCCCACAAGAGGAAATTAAAATCTTTTCCCACTGAAACATGCAGCTATGCTATTTTTAGGCCAGGAGTAATTAAACCAGGATTAGGAGAAAAACAAATACAAATTAGGAGATTTTATAATTAAATAACACATTTCTCATTTTTTTCTTTTCCCTTTTTTATTTAAAAAGATTAAGGGGGGTTCAAATGTTTTTGTTATACGGATATATTTTATAATGCTTGAGTCAGGGCTATTAGTATGCCCCTCACCTAAATAGTGTTCATTATACCTGTAAATAACACATTTCAAACTTAGACTGTTCTGCAGAAGGTAAGACTTGAGAATAAAAATGGTCTTAGCCTTTCTTACTTTTAATTATAAAAGTAGAAGTTACCTACTTCATGGATTTCTCAAGAACAGAAAGTGCAGTAGGGGTGGGATGGAGGAAAGGGACTATTTACTTTCTTTCACCCCCTAAGGTGTAGTGGCTTTGAATGCAAAGATTGTGTATAATTTGCCTTTGTATAATCAGCATTTGGCATTGGGGGCCCATGAATAGGGCAAAAGTTTTAACTTGTCAACTACTGTTTACTAATATAGTTGCTACAGGGGGCTCTGTATTGAGGATTCCAAGGGTTGGGGAAAAGAGTGCTGTGATCTGTTAGTGCTGTCTTCCATGGATGAGGGTCAGGGGAGTGAGGGCCCAGGTATCCAGATCCCTTTTCAGTGAGTAATGATAAAATCAATTTGCCTTTGCTAGGGAAGAAGGGGAAGAAAATTTTAGCAATGTAAGAATTGACGTTCAAGGGACTTCCGTGCAGAAATGCCAAAGAACCATTTGGCCATGCTATCTCAGTGTCTCACCACTTCCACAAAGAAAAAAACAAAAACAAAAACAAAACAAACAGGGACTCTTCAGGCAGGAGAGTCAACATTTCTTTTCAATAGCTGCCACAAGACCAAGTGGATGTGTGGGTTGATAGGTGTTTGAGAACCAAGGAGGACGGTTGGCTGGAAGACCAGAACTGGTCACGGGACCCAAAGTGAGTAAAGACCACGTGGAGGCTTTATTCATAGCTATCTTCTTTTTGTAATAAATCCTCAATAAGGCCATGGTTTCACAATGAAAGTCTAGCAAAATTAAACTCAGGCTTCTCAAAATAATGTCATTAATTGCATTCACCTGGTCTTACACCTGAAGGTTGTTAATTCAGCAACAACAATGGCAGCGGGTGGTAAGGTGCTGGCCAAAAATGTTTTAGAATGTATTTTGGCTACAAACTTCAGACCAATAAATTTCAGGTTAGCTTGATCCCTGGGCCACATTTTGAATGGCAAAGAGATTTCCTAGACAAGAATGATTTGCTTTATTCTTCCTCTAACATCAATCCAATTGCAAAGTAAACTCACCAAAAGACATTTGATTTATTTTTCCTAACAAAAAGATGATTGATTGCACCCAAATGAAGAAGGGGATTCAGGAAGAAGAAAAGATAAATGGGCATTCCTCTGCCCAAAGGAGACATTCAAACTCTTGAGTTTAGCGCACAGGATGGGCCTGTTCCCCATCCTCTGCACGCTGCAGTCTTGGGGTCCAGTGGGGAGCAATGACCAGCAATCTCCATGTGCTTTAGGCATGAAGCATTGTGCAGCTGCTGAATGCTCTCAGTGCAACAGGAATATATATATATATATATATATATATATCTTCCCTTAAAATGAGAGTATGGTAACTATTCTCATACTGTCATAGGGCCCTGATTTAATGCTGGAAAACCCTAAATTTTTCTGCCTCTCCACCACTATTTAGATTTGGAGAGAAAAAAAGGACAAAAAGGAACACATAATGAGCAATAGGAAGCTTGTCAGGAAAGATTTCATAGCAGGGATAAGCCCTGAGCTGAGACTTCAAAGATGAGTAGATATTCTTCTGGAATTTTAGAAGAAAGGACAGTCCAAGCAAAGATTCAGAGGTGAGAAACAGGCATATAAGACTCACATCATCCTCACTCGCTGGCATAAGCTTATGATTTTGGGTGGCGGCAGCATAGCCTGCTCTATTTAAATGGTTTTTCTCTCCTACTTGCCTCCTAGTAGCTGGAAAGATGAATTCATTCTAAGACAAATCCATTCATTCTACCCTAGGCAATGAGTTTTAAAGGCAGGGATAAAATGATCAGAGTCGTGCTCTAGAAAGATCACTGAGGCAAAAGTGAGGAGGATGAATGTTAAAAGGACCATTTGGAATGAAATTAAACAGCCCAGAAATAGCAAGAAAAGTTAGTGGACTGAACTCAGGGCCAGACTAAGATACGTGGGGGACTTGAGTAGGCTGATTATTTGCCTCCGCTACAAACTGATATCTTCTACATATTTGTTTAACATTTGTTCAGAGAAGGATCTGGGTGCTACTCCCCACTCAGCAAAATCAGAGCCCTGCGTTACCCAGACCTTACCTGCTTCCTGAAGAGTTTAGTGACATCTGCTGTTACTGAAGAGGCCCCATAGAGGTTTCAGCTCTCACCCAAAGTCTTTTTATTGTACTTCTTTCAACCAATGGAGTATCCTCTGGAGAGGACTATTGATCCGCACAAGATTTACAATGGCCTGTAAGCATCCTTTAGAGATAAGCATCTCGGGCTCTCAGCTGGCATGGCCTCATTCCTTGTTCTGCCTCTGCTTGGACTAAATCATAGCAGAAAATTCAGGTAGGAGAGAATGGGTACAGGCACTATTAAAGAAGAACAATATACATGATCTGGTGACTAAAAAGCAGGAGCTAAGACAGAGAAAAACAAAGTCAACAATGAACGCTGAGGAAGAAGAGTTGGTAGGAGAAGAAACTTGGAATAAATGGATCTTGGAAGTGGTGTGAAACAGGGTTGACTAGTAGGTCCCAAATCTGAGGGGCTTAACATATAAAATTCTCACTCATGCACAATTCACTGTGATGCCTAGTAGAGAGGGCCTCTTGGGAGGCTCTCCTCGGAGTGATGACTCAGAGACCCAGACCTACTTCCACCTTGTGGCTCCGCCACCGCATGGTTTCAAAGTTGTCTTGGTGTCAGCCTACAAAGTTGTCTTGGTGTCAGCCTACAAAGTTGTCTTGGTGTCAGCCTACAAAGTTGTCTTGGTGTCAGCCTACAAAGTTGTCTTGGTGTCAGCCTACCAGCAGGTGTTCAGTGTATCATACACAGTTTCTTTCATGTTCTGTGGACAATAACTATTCATGGGACTCAACCAGACATAAGAGGGACTGGAAAAGTGAGTCCCTATCTGGGCACTGCTGTCCAGCTACTCTACTTCGTGGTTGTCACCCAGCCAGCTCTGACACAGAGTCAAGGGAAGGGAAAGTTTGAACACATGAGTGACTGATACATTTAAATTTTTTCATTCAACAAATGAATGGATAAACAAAACGAATTATATATATATATGTAAAATGTAGGATATTATTCAGTCTTAAAGAGGAAGGAAATTCTGATACATATTAAAACATGGATGAACCTTGAGGACATTTTGCTAAATGAAATAATCCAGTAACAAAAGACAAATACTGTACGATTCCACTGACATGAGGTACCTAGAGTAGTGAAATTCGTTGAGACAGAAAGTAGAACTGTGGTCACCAGAGGGTGGGGAGGGGAAATAAGGAGTCACTGTTTAATGTGTATGGAGTTTCAGTTGGGGAAGATGACAAAGTTCCGGAGACGGATGGTAGCAATGGTTGCACCACAGTGTGAATGCATTTAGTGCCATAGAACTGTACTTTAAAATGGTGAAGATGGCAAATTTTATGTTATCTATACTTACCATAATAATTTTTAAAAATTTTTCATGAAGATGCTTAGCTCTGTGTAATAATATCTAATATAATATCTAATAGTTATCAACTCTAAATCCTTTTGGGTTAAGGTCATACATAAATAGATAAAACCTAAGTCTCTCTCTCTCTCTCTCTCTCTCTCTCTATATATATATATATATATATATACACACACACATATATACACACACACACATATGTACACTCATATATATATATGTATATATATATATATATATATATATATATATATATATAAACCTACTTTAATTGAATGAATAGCCACAGAATAATTTGTCTCTAACTTGACTTATGACTATTGTGGAAACTGAATCTGCAGGTTTTCAGGTCTAGATGAAAAAGACAACTGGGTTTCTTCAAGGCTTTGCCTTATTCTCTTCAGCACACACACAAAAAAGTGGATCAGAATGTCAGTGGAAGAAAAGCAAGAGAGCAAACCAATAAAGTGACACTTCTTTTCTCATACATATGACACGTATTTACAGATAAATACATACGTATATCACTAAAATTATTAACAGTAATCTACTCTAAGCAGTGTGATGACAAGAGATAGTTGCTTTCTTCTGTATACCTGTCTTCTATTTCCAAAATGCAGTTCATATACATGGACTACCTTTCCAATCCACTAGTCTAAAAAGGCAGATAGTTCCCAGGCTTTGATACTGTTGGTTTTATTAACATTGAGAAAAAACTTCCAGCATGTACAGAAAACTGGATCTCTGAGATACATCTTCCTTACTCCAGAGATGTCTTTCTTTCTTTTTTAATTCAACTACGTTGGCTGCCTTCTAACCTGAGGCTGCTTAATCCTTCTGTAGGCTTAATTGTCTGCTATAATTTCACTCTTTTCAGAGGAACAGAAGATAAAACTCTTGCCAAGGAACATGCCACATAAACAACTTCGTCAGTGATTTTAACCTTCCTAACAAATACTTCTGTCACAGAGGGCACAGAGGAAGTGACAGGATGTCCAAGTAAAATATGCAACAATGGCAAGAAGCACATTTGTGAAACTGCCCCCCCCCAATCCTGACAAACACAATATTTGCATTCTCTTTTTTTCCCCCTCCATTCTTCTGACTCTTTTGTTTTGGTTTCCTTATTTGTCCTTCTGGAGCCATCTCTGCAGCATCTTTTCAGACAGTTATTGGGCAAAAGGGAACATGAACCCAATGATCATCTTCTAAGAACAAAAGTGCCTGGCAACCAAGTAAGCACTTAACTCTTTTTTTTTAGCGGAGCCAAGACTGAAGACTACAAAGGCAGCCATTACAGTAGCAATGTAGACATTGGCTAGTTCTTCAGTACAGTCCTGCTTCCAGAGAGGCATCAGCGAGCCAAATTTATAAACCCTTAGGGAGGAGCCAAAATAGAGCAATTCATTTTCATTGTCCTTTGAATTAGGGGAAAAACAATCTTAATAAATAAATTCAATAGGGCTCTTTGTTTTATACATTTTTCTAAACATTAAGGTTTATATAATTTGAATACAAAACTTCTTGGGTTTCTTCTCAGATTTAATCCTGCCTTTTTCTTTCATTGTTTTTTAAATATGAATTGTAGCTTATATCCTTCAAAGAGACTTACATTCCTGGAGTATCAGAATTATGTTTCATCACTTCTCTTGTATCATGAGCAGAGTTAAGCACTTTGCCAGGCACATGGTAGTTGCTTAATATATGCACGTTGATTTGGTTTTCAGTCTCCTATGTCCCACCCATCCTTGCCTGAGGCAACTACTTTGAATTCTTATAGCCATTTCTTCTGGTCCTTCTTTCCATATTACTTTCCAATATGTGTATTATTTCTTGATTTATCAAATGTACACTTTCCCTATGGACTTGTTGCATTGGTAGAGGATTTAACACCCTTATGCCACCACTGCTCACACACTCAACTCACCTTTTCCCTCATCCTAATAAAGTCATATGATAGCTTATGGTAAAAGAAATAATCAATGGTTATACTACAATAATGATGTAAATATTACTCACTACTGAGCCAAATGATATGCAAGAATTACATTTTCCTTTATCAACAGCCTGTTTTGCTTTCTGTTTTCATTTCTGAAGTTTTCTATGTGACTAATTACTTCATCACATCCATCAAATATTTATCTATATTATTTTTTAAGAGCTCTTTTTTTCTTTTCTTTCCTTTAGCGCTCTCTGCGATTCTGCATCCTGCTGCACAATTATCGTTGTGGGACTTCCTTCCCTGGGCTGCTGTTCCTTAGCTAGCTGTTTCTGAAGCCTCATCTTCCTCCTTCTTGTTTTATCCATCCCCCAAAAGCTTTCTATTACAGAATGCATGAGAGTTACATTTTTTGAGCTCTTGTACATGTAAAAATTGATTGTGTTTCCGCACTCTACACCTGAGTATGGGTGAGCCAATCAATGGGAAAAGGGCGCAGCATGTGCAAAGGCAGGAGAACATGGCACATTTGTGGAACTGCGAAAGAGAAGAGACACAAGCTTGTCTCGACCAGGCAAACAACTGGGTTGTAGCATTGCTTTCATAAGAAGACAGCCTAAAATGAGAACAAAAGAAATGACTTCAGCTGAGTATTAATTCAATAAATTGCAAAAGCTAAGGACCATCTAGAAGAGCACAGAGTAGTCTAATCTATGTAATGGCTCTGAGTTAGAGATGATACCATTAATGATTTTAAATTATAAATTTTATATTTTAAAATTCTAACAGCAGTCAGAGTCTGTGAGGGAAAATGGTTCACAGTAACATTTGCCTGCTGCCTTCTGGCAATTTCTCTTATTTCTGTATGAGGTCATTATGGCTGTTAAGTCATATGGTAGTTTCCTAATTTGACTGTGCTTCAGAATTACAAAACAGAGAATTTTTTTTTTAATTGTTTCATTTCAGAACATTACGGGGATACACATGTTTTAGTTACATAATTTGCTTTTGTACAGTTTGAGTCAAAGTTACAAGTGTGCCTTTCTTTCACCCAGTTAGTGTGCATTGTACCCGTTAGGTGTGAATTTCCCCGTTAGGTGTGAATTTACTCCCCTCCCACCTACTTGATTTTCCTTGAGTTTTACTTTCTTATGTGCACATAAGTGTTGATCAATTAGTTCCAGTTTGGTATTGAGTATATGGGTGTTTGTTTTTCCATTCTTGCAATACTTCACTTAGAAGGATGATCTCCAGTGCCATCCAGGTTGTTACAAAAAATACTAGATCACCATTTTTTTTATGACTGAGTAGTGCTCCATGGTATACATATACCACATTTTATTAATCCACTCATGTATTGTTGGGCACCTGGGTTGTTTCCACATACTTGCAATTGTGAATTGTGCTGCTATAAACATTCAAGTGCAGGTGTCTTTTTTCTCTGGGTAAATACCCAGTAGTGAGATCGCTGGATGAAATGGTAGGTCTACTTTTAGTTCTTTGAGGTATTTCTATACTATTTTCCAGAGAGATTGTACTAGTTTGCAGTCCCACCAACAGTGTATAAGTGTTCCTTTATCTCTGCATCCACGCTAGCGTCTATTGTTTTAGGACTTTTTGATAAAAGCCGTTCTCACTAGAGTTAGGTGATATCTCATTGTGGTTTTGATTTGCATTTCCCTGATAATCAGAGATGTTGAGCATTTTTCATGTGTTTGTTGGCTGTTAGTCTATTTTCATTTGAAAAGTTTCTATTCATGTCTTTGCCCACTTTTTAATGGGATTTGATTTTTTTTCTTGATGATTTGCTTGAGTTCTTTGTAGATTCTGGTTATCAGCCCTTTATTGGATGTATAGATGCAAATATTTTCTCCCATTCTGTAGGTTGTCTATTTCTTCTATAGATTATGTCCTTGGCTGT